TACGTGCTGGTTTGTTTAGCTCAGTAGAGCTAAACTCAAGATGCAGGCAATTGCTCAGAGCACCTGCCATTCTAGCTAAGCTGAATTGGAACGTCTGTGATTAGACAGCCACAGAAGGTCTGGGATGGGGAAAAAGGGGAGGTCTTGCAAAGACTGCATACAAGAGATCTGCCATTTTTACAAGCTGTTTTTAGATATACCCCCACTGAAAAAGTGCATAATTAAATTCATACATATTGTTATTGGTGGTATGTATTCTAAATAGTTGTTTCTTTAAAATTTGTATTGTATTTGGACAGTGTCTCTTTAAGATTATCCTTAAAGGAACACTCCAAACACCTAAGGAAAAGAGCTTCTAAAGTGCTTTATGTTTGAAGAGTGTTTCCTCCTTGTCTCATTTTACATAATTGAAATAAGAATTGACACTTTTATACATTAACCTTGTTGCATGCTCCTGGCTGTCAATCAGACAGCAGGACCTGTTACTTCCTGTTTTGGTTAGCTCAGTTGAGCTAGACTCAAGAGGAGGGCAGTTGCCCCGAGCACCTACCTTGCATTGGGCCTGTGATTTAAAAGCCAAACAAGGTCTGTGGAAGAAGGGGAGGGCTTGCAAAGGCTGCAGACAAGAGATCTGCAGATTTTGCAAACTGTTTTGATATAAACCCCCAATGAAAAAATGCATAATTAAATGCATGCATGTACTACTACAAAACTACTATGCTATCATAATTGTTGGACCTTTAAGGGGGTTCTTCTTCATATATATTGTCCAAAACACCATACACATACTATTTGTGTAACCAATTCAGGCAAAAATACGTGAGCAATTTGTGCTAAGTGGGTCATTTAATGAATCTCTCCTTTAAAACCTCTGCAAAAAGTATGGTACAAACAAGTGCCATTAATGTTAATGTAAATTAAAGAGGTGCTTATAGTTGGAGAATAGATTGTATTGCATAATTGCACTAAACATTTGTACTGGAAAAGAACAGTTAATACTTCATTTAACACAACCTACAAATTATTTTCAATGTGCAAAATGTTGCTTAAAAGGTACCAAGAAGGATCAAACCATGAGGACCAATTATTTTAAAAATGTAGGCTGGATAGCTCATGTTTGAACTCTAGCTCCATACTGTAGTGGATAAATGACCTACGTGGGAATCAAGGTCATCCATGCTGATAAGCCATAGTTATCTTGTTTATGAGAAGTTGGTTGGGGAATAGGTGGAGATTAACATGAAATAATGCACTTTATTCTTCTAAACTTACTAAAGAACTGTATTTTCTCTTGTAGGGTGACACTTCATATGTAAAGGACCGGTGGTGTGTATTTGATGGATTCATGGTGTTTTGTCTTTGGGTATCGTTAGTTTTGCAGGTAATGTTATATCACAAATGATGTGTATGTATAACGTATACAGCCGCATTCATTAAGAATATTGTAAACCAAATAAAAATTGAGTGTATTTGTTCTTCATAACTACAGTGTTGTATTGGTAATCACTCCAAGGAAAAACTCTTGCATTAGCCATACGTTTTAAACCCTGGAAAGTTCTAGGAAAGTACGCCATGAAAGTAAAATACCCGCACAATCTAGAAAATTCTATATGGATTCTACTATAACAAGTGAGGAATTGAATGGATTAATACCTGAGCACAATATTACCTGGACCTTATTATATGCCTAAAAGTAATTTTACCTGACCAGATTATCAATGAGCATAATACGATTTATAGTCTAGCGTGGGCCGTCTGGATGCATCAATCTGTCTTTGCTACCAGTTTTAGCAGGGAACTAACACTGGCTTTGTAATAGCCACAGTGAGAAACTTTGCAGCCTGTCCACTTTGTCTATGGTTAGCATGGTGTGTGTGCTATGTGCTGATGCCGGACTCAAAAGTTGCACACAAGTGATCTTTCTAGACAGGATGACAGTACGGCAACTGACTACCTGACAACTTAGAGTGGCGGCCCTACACATAGCGTAGTGCTGGTGCAGAATCTTTGCATACTTTTATAAAATGAAGTAGTTATAGTGCTTAGAGTGACAATTTACAAATAATTAGAGAACTCTCTATAACAGGTTTGGCATCAAATTATAGGAAATGTAATTCCAAATTGCAAGTCTGAGGTAAAAACAGGTTTGCACTGTAACCCAGCGTTTAATAAATAAATCTTACATTCCAAAAAAGAGGCAAACCTTTCCTATTTTACCAACTTTCGGTGTAGTAGAAAGACCGGGAATGTTATGAGATATCTTTTGCTTTTTATGAAAATACCAATTTAATTTTAGGTGCATGTTGATGTGGGTGTTTAAAGAATTCTATGAAATTTCATCAGTTTAAATTGACATACAGACATTTATAAATGTCATTGTACTTCCTCTAGCTAACTGATGATATTAATGAATATGGTGAGGCATAATGTCTGCTTTATAAAATGACTTTTAATCACAGCATCCTTATCTTTATGTAAAGCATCAATTTCTACTTTTACTTTTGCCCTCATTACCTGTCTAAACTTCATATCATGACATTTAGAAAGTATGACTTTAAATGTAAACACTTGCATTATTTCAAGACTGCTGGGTTTTTTTTTCTGCAAAAATGAAATATAGTTAGCAGACTGTTTTGAGAATATTTACATTATAAAGCAGTTACTTTGGATTTGTACTGGAGAAAGAGATACTATTTTTGCTGTTAAAATCAGTATTTCAGTGTTCCATTTAATTAAAAGAGAAGGCTAAGCACCATACGCACTACAAACCACTGTAGTAGTTATGTTATTAGAAGGCTACAGGTACTGTTCCACATTTATGGGTTAAGCTGTTCTAGCGGATTAACAGAAATTAGAGGGACTCAATGTACTTTTAACATTGCTTCTACCACACTTCCACATTAGCAGGATCAATGTTGCCCATGTTTGAGAGGTGTTGATAGTCAATCAGTGCCATCCAAATATGCCATCCAAAAATTTATATTTTTAGTACTGAAATGAAAAATCTTCATTAGCAATTAAATGAGAACCATAACCACTACAACTGACTCTATTTAACATGATGCTGTCATTGTTCTGCTAACATTTTGTATCTGAGGACAAGTTTTTTAAAAGGCAGAGCTCATGAAGGTGAATATTATATGCTGTCAATTATAAAACCATAAGAGTCTATTAATAAACTTGGAGACAATTGACAAAGGAATCAAATATTTTAGTACAAAATTAATTCATTCGTAAAAAAAAAAAACATGAATAAAGCTACTGAGACAAATGTAATTTTTGTTTTCCTACTGCCAGGTGTTTGAAATTGCAGATATAGTTGACCAGATGTCTCCTTGGGGAATGCTGCGGATTCCACGTCCTCTAATAATGATAAGAGCGTTTCGTATTTATTTCCGATTTGAACTACCAAGAACCAGGATAACAAACATTTTAAAGTAAGTTCGAAATTCGTTTTTCACAAACATGTAAATATCATCCAGTAGCTTACTGGCTACCAATATATACAAATTGCAGGTAATTTCAATAGGCTATTTGTTAATGATGAGTGCATTATAAGGAGCATAATTTAGGTCAAATGGTCCTGGTGAAAATTAGTGCATTACTAAAAGTACAATTGTATCAGAGGGACATTCATTTAATCTTTATATCATTTTGCATAACTGTACTGAAAAAAAAAAAAATGCCTACAAAAATATTTAATTGATCAGGGGGAATTTATAATACATTAGTTATTGCTTTTGCACCCAAAGTTGCAGGATCATTCCTTATACCTTTCTTAGGGACAATTACATATCCCTCACTATACCCTTCTATGCATATCTCCAATCTCAAAGCTTTCTCCACTCCATATGTCTGTACTTTATGAACTCGGACCGGATACACTCATGATACTTCCATGGTACTCTCACAAACCAAAAATAACTCTGTTAACAAACATTATGCACAGATAATACATATTGTAGAGTTTAAACCATTATCCTTGGGCCTAGAACATAGCTTACTCTAGACACAGAAACCCTGTTTGCCACTTGGTCTAAAGCCAGCAAATTATTATCAGCCCCTACATACCAGTAAATAAACTTAAAGATTCTCCATCTAGCCTATCTTATAATAAAACTCCTTTGTCTTTATTTAAGATATTAAATCATAATTGCAAATCTTAAGCACAAATGTTGAAGTCCACTATAACCCAGTGTTTAGTAAATAAACCTCACATTTAAGAGAAGAGGTGAATTTTTTTTTTAACATTTTTTTTAAACAATTCATTTTCAGTAGCGGACAAGTCCTAAAACATTCTAAGATATCTTTTGCTGGTTATTATTTTTATTTTTATTATTACTATTTATAAAGCGCCAACAGATTTTGCAGGGCTGAAAACACCAACTTAATTTTAGATGCATTTTGATGTTTCTGTTTGAGAATTTAGTATTCTATAAAATTTTATCAAATTAGATTAACATATAGAAATTTATAAATGTCACTGTACATCATCTGGCTAATTTATGGTATTAATGAATATGGGTAGACAAAATGTCTGCTTTACAAGAATTATTCATTTTTTCGCCTGTCCACTTGCTTATAATGTTACTCCTGTATTTAACTGCTCGACTCTTTTTGTGATGATAATCACTATTTTAATTTCAATTAAATTTTTATTTATGTAATCTGATTATCACTGCAATATCAGATTGCTTTTGTCAATCACACTTGTTTATAGCAAATTAAAAGTTTGAACAGAAACAATTTAAAATATGGAAAACATTTTATATTTTGTAAATGATAAGAAAAAATACGAGTTCAAAAAGCCACTGAATCTTCACGATTAGCAATGTTGCAAGTCACTGAAGGACTAAACATTAGGAGAGGTAAGACTACGCTAAGCATCCTGGCCCCATGAGATAGTCCCTGAGCTCACACTAGCCTCTGGGTCATCAAATTCCAGCCAGTACCATGTCACCAGCCCCAGCCTGCATCTTTGCCCTCAGATACGGTTTGACAGGCAACTGTAATCGGTGTCCCCGGAGAGGCACTAATAACATTACACTTGCTGGCAGTATTCCCTACAAGGCGTAGGACTATGATAGGGAGTTCCTTTTCACTTTGCTCGAGACCTGGGAAAGTAGCTGTGGAAGCCAGATTCAAGTGCCAGGTGCCCAGCGGCATTTGGACTTCATGAACAAGGAAGAAGAATTTAGGTTGGCACATGCCTTGTTGAGGGCTTAACGTTGTCAAATCTTGTTTGGGTCCAAGCAGCGGTCATCTTAAATGCATGTCACACTTGCACTCACAGCAGGTGTTGCTAATGAACAGCTTCTGAGTGACTTCCGAGCCCTCCAGTTTGGGCCGTAATAACCTCCACTGGTCCAGGGGGTGTGGGAGTGGCCATACAATGGAGTGAGGTGTCGATGTGCAGCCATCGGGTCGGAGAGCAAAGCAGTTCCTTCAGCTTCACTCCCCACCCTGATAGGCTGTAATTCCAGGTATTACACACTCCTTAACCTCCCGTTGGAGGGCAGATCTACAGCACTGGTAGTCCCCAGGGTAGTATGCTGTAGTTTTCTGGTTTAAGGTAGATAGATAATGTATATATAGTCAATTAAAAATCAGAAACGACTGGAGACATTCTGACATGCGGCCTGCCAGCATGATGGTCCGGCCCCACCCCTGATTTTTAAGTTTTCTTAATTGGTTTTTATAATATCAAAACTGCATTCTGTGGTATTGAAAAGGAATTTTTAGATGAAAATGTAGGAATAAAAAAAAATGTTTGTAGAAAGGACAAAGGCAAGGCTTAAATGACGCTGGAGAGAAGATTTTTCTGTTAAACCATTCATGAACAGTTTAACCCTGAAGATAAGCTGGCGCCAGGGACGTCCTTGTACTACAACAACTTAATTCTGATAAAGTTGTTATGGTGCCTGGAGGTTATTATTAAAACCCAGTGAGACATCCCTGTCTCAATAACACAATGGATGCTAAAATGCTTAGAGGTGATGGTAGGAAACACGGGATGGTTATAACAGGATTAGCTGAAGGTGGAGAATATTCTCCTCCAATCATACCCAGTTTTAACCCGGCCAAATGGCAAATTATTTAGGTAAACTAGAAAAATGGTCAGAGCTGTGGCAACTGACATTTAATGTAGATACGTGCAAAATAATGCATCTTGGGTGTAAAAACCCAAAGGCAGAGTATAGAATATTTGATACAGTCCTAACCTCAATATCTGAGTAAAGGGGTTTAGGGATTAATTATTTCCGATGACTTGAAAGGTCATGAAAGGTAGGCAGACAATGCAATAAAGAAGCAGGAAATGCTTGCAGAATGCTTGGTTGTATAGGGAAAGGTATTAACATTGTACAGAAACTGGTGAGACTTCACTTGGAGTATTGTACGCAGTACTGGAGATCATATCTCCAGAAGGATATCGATACTTTGGAAAGAGTTCATACAAGGCCTACTTAACTGGTTCATGGATAACAGGATAAAACTTACCAGGAAAGGTTAAAGGATCTTAACATGTATAGCTTGGAGGAAAGACGAGACAGGGGGGACACATTTACAACACAGTAAAGGAGGAGACTATATTTAAAAGAAGAAAAACTACCACAACAAGAGGAAATAGTCTTAAATTAGAGTGGCAAAGGTTTAAAAATAATATCAGGAAATATTACTTTACTGAGAGGGTAGTGGATGCATGGAATAGCCTTCCAGCTGTGGTGTTAGAGGTTAACACAGTGAAGGAGTTTAAGCATGCGTGGGATTGGCATAAGGCTATTCTAGACTTAAAATAACTAGAACAAAGGAAGAATGGTGGTAATATGGCGCTACAGTGTGCTGCTAAACCCACAGTGAAATCAACCACACAGTTTCACAAAAAAAGCATAAAGCAGGAAAATAGAAAATAAAGTGGATAGCGCACTAAAGACCCAGAAGTGTGTATCGAAGTGTTTATACACAAATTTAAAATAAATAAATGTATATACCATAGGACATGTCTTACATTTGTGGATAAACACTTTGATACACACTTCTGGGTCTTTAGTGCGCTATCCACTTTATTTCCTATTTTCCTGCATTAGACTTAAAATAAAGCCAGGGACTAATGAAAGTATTTAGAAAACTGGGCAGACTAGATGGGCCAAACGGTTCTTATTTGCTGTCACATTCTATGTTTCTATGAAAGGTTATAGCACAATCCATGGTTCTTAAAACCATATTCATATCAGCATACTTTTGTGAAAACTCTCAATGTAAGCAAAGATTTGAAATATTTATATGTAAAATGTATTACTACTTCCAATAGTTTAGCAACACCAGTAAATGGTAATGTGCTATATTTTTTATTAGCATATCATTATATCTCAAAAGGTCAGACGTTGAGCAAATTCCTAACTTTCCGAGAACTAAATGTACAACACCTCTAACTGCAAAGATACTTGTTCTTTTGCTGCTAAAGAGCATGAACCCTAATCAAACCCTGCTTAACATATAAAAAGGATTTAAGCAAAATGTTTATTATAAGCACAAGAGATGTCTGTGCTATTTGCTAGATATTCCCAAACGTGGAATCATGAGTTAACAGAAGCATCTCTAAAGTTTGAATCCAAAGATCACAAGTTTGGTATGCCCAAATTAGCCACAGGGAATCAATTTCTGACTGCTAATAATATGCTCAGTTCGTAAAACTCGCTTAACACAATTGACGGCAAATGCCAGCAGTTCATATGAGATTTAAAGAGTGTGTGTTTTTAGATTTAAGATATGCTAACAAGTATTTTGGATCTCATGAGTTTAGTTATTGAATGTGATTAAAAACAGAAATGGTCCCCCTTTGAGTCTGTATGGTCAGAAAAGAAAATGATTTGTTCTTTAAACATATGCATCTATTCTAATGTATTAAATGCATACTGTTACATGCATATTTTAATATCTGCCATGGCGTTTCAGTAAAAAGTAAAAAATAGATACAGTTAAAGGACCACTCTAGGCACCCAGACCACTTCAGCTTAATGAAGTGGTCTGGGTGCCAGGTCCAGCTAGGGTTAATCCATTTTTTCATAATTATAGCAGTTTCAGAGAAACTGCTATGTTTATGAATGGGTTAAGCCTTCCCCCTAATCCTCTAGTGGCTGTCTCATTGACAGCCACTAGAGGCGCTTGCGTGCTTCTCACTGTGATTTTCACGGTGAGAGCACGCAAGCGTCCATAGGAAAGCATTGTAAATGCTTTCCTATGCGACGGGCTGAATGCGCGCGCAGCTCTTGCCGCGCGTGCGCATTCAGCCCAGGAGGAGGAATGGAGGAGGAGAGAAGGAGGAGAGCTCTCCGCCCAGCGCTGGAAAAAGGTAAGTTTTTACCCCTTTCCCCTTCCAGAGCCGGGCGGGAGGGGGTCCCTGAGGGTGGGGGCACCCTCAGGGCACTATAGTGCCAGGAAAA